GCAGCCATTGACTATATTCAGTTACCTGTTATTCCCAATGTCAAATAACCATCTATTCCTAGTACTCATCTTTGGGTATAAGTGCTATTCCCTTTTCAACAAAGGAAAAATCACTGTGAAAACAGTTGACCCAGTTCTCATCTAGATATGTACAAAATAAACACTTTCTAAGATAAAACATGTCTTATAAAATAGCAAGAAGCTGGGAGTGGCGATGTGCACCTCTAATCCCAGCACAAAGGAGGTAACCAGGAGGAGCAAGAGTTCAAGGTTAACTCTGGAAATCAATATGGCAGTGTCTCAGAAATTGATCTACCTCAAGACCCAGCGATACCACTCTTGGTCATATACCCAAAGGACATCCTGCCACAAGGACACTTACTCAACACTGTTCATAGTGGCTTTATTCATAATACCCAGAAACTGGAAACAACCTAGATGTCCCTCAACCGAAGAATGGATAGAGAAAATGTGGTACATCTACACAATGGAGTATTACTCAGTTGTTAAAAACAGTAACATCATGAAATTTGCAGGGTAATGGATGGAACTAGAAAAAAATCATCCCCATTGAGGTAACCCAGACCCAGAATGACAAACAGGGTATGTACTCACTTATAAGCAAATGTTAGCTGTAAAGTAAAAAATAATCATGTTACAATCCACTGACCCAGAGAGGCTAAGTAATGAGGACTTACGGGGAACACAAGGCTCTCCTTGGGAAGAGGAAATAGAGTAGATTTTGAGGGTGGACTGGGGTGGTTGGGGAACACCGAGCCTGAACCAGCCATCTTCTGTAACCAGGCAATGCCTCCAGGAGGGATTAGGACACCAACCCAACCACAAAACCTTCAACCTACCCTTTGCCCTGCCTGCAGAGTTTTCTGGGACTGGAGCCTAGCAGAATCATCATCAAAGAGACCAGAGAGACTTTCATCCAGCAACTGATGGGAGCAGGTGCAGAGTCCCACAGCCAAACATTAGCCGGAGCTCGGGGAGTCCTGTGTAGGAGGGGGAGGAAGGATCGGAGGAACCAGAGGGGTCAGGGACACCATGAGAACACAGCCCACAGAATCAACCGATCGAGGCTCTGGGGGCTCACAGAGCTCAGGGAGCCTGTAGGGGTCTGACCTAGGTCCTCTGCATCTGTTACTGCTGAGTAGCTTGGTGTTCTTGTGGGATTCCCAACAGTGGGAGTAGGGGCTGTCTGTGACTCTTGCCTGCTTTGGGACCCTTTTCCTCCTACTGGGTTGCCTCAACCAGCCTTGATGTGGTGGCATGTGCCTGGTCTTACTGTAGCATGTTGTGCGGCATCTTGTTGATGTCCCTGGGAGGCCTGCCCTTTTCTGGGGGGAGACAGAAGGGGGACTGGATCTGGGGGGTGGGGGAGGGACAGAAAGCTGCAGTCAGGATGGAAGAATTAAAAAAAAGAGTTCAAAGCTAGCCTGGGCTATAAGGGACCACGTCATTTTAAAAAGGAGAGAAGGGGCAGGAAGGGAGGGATGAGGTAGGGAGAGGGGGAGGGGGAAGAGGAAGGAAGGAGATAGAAAGATGGAGAGTTATCGTAGTCTCTTCTTTCTGCCATAGACTATGACAGACTGTGTGGGAGACTGTGGGAGGCCAGCTCCCACCTTTTCTGGGGTCCTGAGGAGAAGAGAGGGATAAGAAAATATTAGATAGAAAGAGAGACTTGGAAGACAAGAAGAAAGACAGAAATACAGGATAGCTTTGGGAGGGCCTGGGTCAATACCCAGTAGCTTCAAAAGTTTATTCAAAAGGCTTTTTATAACATGCCAAGGGGAGAGGCAAGAGACCTCCCCTTTCAAGATCAAAGCACACCATACAGCCAAGTGTAGACCCTTCCAAACACCTGGTAACCACGCCTGTGGTCAAATCATTCCCTTATGCAGCCCTGCTGGGTAAAGCAAGCTCAGGTTCTCTGACCCTGAGTAATTTGGGCCTTCACAAGACTACACAATTTATCAACAACAAAAGACATTGATTTAACTCATGAAGGGCAGGAATTCCAAGAACACGGTATTGGCATCAGGCAAGGGACATCACACTGCACTATATATAACATGCCGGAAAGCGGGAATGCAGGAAACGAGACAGAGAAACTCATGATGGATCCGTCCTTTTGTGGAGAACCCAGTCCTCAGATGATGCCATCAGGACATTCACAAGGGTTGTACCCCCAAGAGCTAGCCATCCCTATCATCTCCCAAGTATCTGTCCTTCCTCTCAATAGCAGTTTAAGTGGCAATTAAAATCTCACATGTGTGTCAAAGGTGACATCCACACCATAGCATGGCTCATGTCAAAAGAATCTGGGGCCACTTGGGAGGCAGAGCCAGGCAGATCTCTGTGAGTTTGAGACCAGCCTGGTCTACAGAACAAGATCCAGGACAGGCACAAGAAAAAAAAAGAACCTAGGTACCAACTTGGGGAGGTTCCCAGTGACCAAAACAAAAGAGATGATCCAAGCATCGAAACTTGCTTCAGCTGCCAACACCTGAGCGCTTGACATGTGTTCAATTATGAGCTCATGGTGCTGCGCACAAGAATCTTCACTGGCTCCCTTGGAAGAGGCTGGGACAGCAACACTAAGGAAACATTTACCCAGCTTTTCCTAAGAATTGGATCTCTGGGTAACAAATAGTTAACACGGAAACTGTTAGTTTTTTGGTCCCAGTGTCAAGTCCTAAGAAACCCCATCTCTAGGAGTTATTCCGGCTGTGGGTTTCAGTGGCTGCGGTTGATCTGGTGAGAGAGGACACCCATGCTGTGAACTTTCCCCATCGCACTGAGACCCCAGACGATGGACGGTGCCGCTCACATTCTAGGTGTCTTTCCCCCATGGTCCTCTCTGGAAACGCCCTCACAGACACACCCTGAGGAGTGCTTTAATAACACAGCTGCTCCTCAACTCAATGAAGTTGATAAAATTAACTATTAGAGAAAAGGGGGATTCCCCCACCCCCGGTACGGAAAATTGGAACCCAGGGCCTCAAGCATGCCAGGAATGAACTCTGCGACCCAGCCATATATATCCAGCTTGAAAAGTTTCCTTTTTTTTTTTTTTTTTTTTTTTTTTGAGGCAGTATCTCAATATACAGCCTAGGTTAATCCCAAATTCAAAATCCCCCTGCCTCTGTGTCCTGAGTGCTGGTGTTCTATGTGCACCACTATGCTCCAATTCTTGTAGCTTTTTAATAAAATAATAATAATGATGATGGTAATAATAGTAATAATAATAATAAGTGCCTGGAGAGATGGCTCAACAGTTGCAAGCACTGGCTGCTCTTCCAGAGGACCAGGGTTCGATTCCCAGCACCCACATGGAGGGTTACAACTATCTGTAGCCCCCGTTCCAGGGAATCCAATGCCCTCTTCTGGCCTCCTTGGGTACCAGGCATGGACACTGGGCACTGATATGCATGCAGGTAAAAAACCATAAAAATTGTTCACTGATAATGGGAAAAGATGGAGAGCAGACAAGAGATTTAAAAAGATTAAAAGCTATTTCAGGAGCAAAGTGAGGAGCTCATTTGGATTTTGATTAAAATAGACAACTTTGAAAATCCAATGTAAAGAAACAAACGAACAACTAGATACTTGATATTAAGAAATTACTGTTTGGTTTGATGTTTAAAATAAGTTCTTACTATGTGGCCTAGACTGGCCTCAAACTCGTGATCCTCCTGCCTCAACCTCCTGACTATTGGAATAATAGGTGTTCATCCGACTTAATTTATTTTTTATTATTGTGTGTATTATGATGCGAGAGGGCACACATGTCGAGATACATGTGCGGTTGAGTCTCTCCCTCCACTTTGCATGCACTCCAGGCATCAAGCTCGGGTCTCCAAGTCTTTTGAAGCAAACACTACCTGCAGGGCCATCTTGCCTGCCCTATTCTTAGTTTTTAAAGACACGACAATGACATTATGATTTTGTTTTAATGAAGCACCCTTATCTTTATCGGCAATATACTGAAATATTTATTGATCAAATAATGCCATAGATATGTACCAAATAACTGGGGGAGGGGGGTCAGACATGTGGATAAAGGAAGATTGGCCATGAATTACCTCCAGGAGAGTCACAGGCACAGAAAGTATCTGAAAGCAGGTAGTTCACATGTGAGAAAGAAGGTAGTATGTGCGTGCGTGCGTGCGTGCGTGCGTGCGTGCGTGCGTGCATACCTCCCACCCACATCTTCATCAACTTTTAAAGACCGGTGACATCACCCCGTAAACTAGAAACTTAGCGGTGAACTGGCCGCAGCAGGTCCCCCATGGGGGTTCCTACCTCCCAAGCTAGTTAACATTTCCTCCTCTCTTTTATTAGTCCTACTTCAGTCTCTCATCCCAGCAGAAGGAACCTCCACAAGGCCTTCTTCCGGAGCCTTCTCCCTCACTACAACCAGCACAGCGCTCTTCCTAAAAGCAGGCTCTTCTGCCTGAAATTACCGTCACCATCATTAATCCTCAAAGAATGAATGAAGGGCCAGAAACCAGTGTCGGTTAGGCTTACCACGCAGAGGTTAATTATTCTATAGGCGCACATTCCGAGCGTCTCTAGACCCTGCACAAAACTACAGAAAACAAATTCCCTCCCGGCATGGTAACACACACTTGTAATCCCAGTACAGGAGTCTCACGAGTTCAAAGCCACCCTGTTTCAATCTCTACCCAAAAGATTACAAACAGTTCTTCAGTTAACTCTCATTTAATGTGGAGAGACCAAAGTCCCTGGAAAAACGAACACGCACTGGCCGACTCCATCGTCTCTGGCACGACTGCACGTGACTCTCGCTCTTCCCTCTCCAAACCTGCCCGATTCCTTCCCTTATACGGTGCACTCCCTCCGAGACCGCCTTGCACCCTCCCAGCCGCTCCCGCCCCGCTCCACTCCGCCGCGAGGTGGCAGCAGGGCTCGCGGATGCCAGGAGGCCTCCGTCCGCGGGGACCCGGCGGCGTCGCGCAGCCCCGGCGATGATTGGCTGTTGCGCGACGACCTTGAGGGGGAGGAGCCGGCGGCAGAGCCGGAAACGTCGGGGAGAGCGAGAGCCACGTCCCGAGCCTGGGCGTGCGCACTCAGAGGGGGCCAACCGCTGTCGAGGCCTGTGCACCTCCTCCTCTGGCCGGAGGGGGCAGACGCGCGTCGACGCGACGCGGGGCGCAACCTGCTGCAAGGGTCACCCCGCCGCGGGCCGGGCGAGAGCGAGGGGAGGAGTCACCTTGAGAGGCGGGGTCACAATGACCAGCCGAGTCACTCCGGGAGGCCTCCCTCCGCGAAGGGAGCACAAAGCGCAGGGGGCGCAGCCCTGAGGGGCCCCGGGCACACGCCGATGTGGCAGTGTCACCCCCAGGAAAGGTCCCCCTAAAGGAGAGCGGGCTGCGGGGGGCGGCGGCCTCCAAGGGGGCGGGGTCTGGCCGAGGGGGTGGGCTCCGGCGGAGGGCGGGGCTTCCCCGCAGGTGGAGGCTTCTCTTAAAAAGAGGGTCATTAGGACAAAGAAGTAGGAGGGCGGCCACCGGGCGGAGCCCCCGAACCCCAACTTTACTTGGGGGACTCGGGATGGAGTGAGGAGGGGTCCGGGCAGGGCAGGGATGCGGCCGGAGGCTCCCTGCAGCCCCGGGTACCACGGCCGCCCGAGAAGACAGGTGTTAGCGAGCCCGGAGCTTTAGGGCGTCGGAGTCCAAAGCCCCTAGAAATGGGCAGTCGGGGTGGGGCGCGGGCGAGGCAGGCAGCGGGGTCGATCCGTGCAGCCCAGGGCTCGGGCGGCTTGGCGCCCGCCGCCCACCCTTAAGTCCCCCCCCGTTATTCACGGCCCGGCCTACGCGCGGGTGCGTACCTGAGGGGGCGTGGCCGGCCCGCAGCCCGGGCTCCAAGGAGTTAACCGCAGGCCGGG